CAGACACACCTTAGTCTCCAAAGAGACACCACTGCTCTTCAGTACTTTGGAGAGGTCCCTAACAGCAGACTTTCCTATGGGAATGCGCCTTTTAATTTCCTGGCTGCTGGTGCCAAGACTGCTGACTACAGAGCCAAGCAAACTGTGTACAATATCAATCTCTTCACCATCCATCCTGATGCTGCCAATTGGTCCAGTGGTGAGAATCTTTGCCTTCTTGACATTGAGCCTCAATCCAAATTGGAGGCTGCAGTCCTTGACACTCTGCAGTAGGCGCTTCAGGTCCTCTTCAGTTTCAGCAAGCAGGGTTGTGTCATCTGCATAACGCAGATTGTTGATAAATCATCCACCAATCTTGACCCCACATTTCTCCTCATAGAGCCCAGCCTCCCAGATAATCTGTTCTGCATATAGGTTGAAAAGGTATGGAGATAGGATGCATCCCTGGCGTACGCCCTTCCCAATTTTGAACCATGCAGTGTTCCCTTGCTCTGTTCTGACGACTGCCTCCTGGTCCAAGTATAGGTTTCGCATTAGAACAATCAAGTGTTCTGGGATTCCCATTCTTCTCAGAGTCAGCCATAGTTTGTTATGATCTACACAGTCAAATGCCTTTGCATAGTCAATGAAACACAGATAGATATTCCTCTGGTATTCCCTGCTTTCAGCCATGATCCATCATCTAACATCAGCTACAATATCCCTAGTACCACGACCCCTTCTAAACCCAGCCTGGACTTCTGGTAGTTCTTTGTTGATGTGCTGCTGTTCCAGTCGTTACTGGATAATCCATTAGTAAGTATGAAATTGGAATCTAGGAAAATTGAAAGTTGTAAAAAAATGAAACAATGCATAAAGATCTTCATCTTAGGTATTAGTGAGTTGAGATGGACTGGTATTGGCCACTTAATTTCTTTTCCCCCTCCCCCTTCTTCTGCTCCCTACCTCCTCCTGAAATATAAATAAGTTGTTCCCATTTTCTAATGTTAATAGCTGTATTATTTTTTCATCTGTTTTTCCTGGGTTGATCCCCACTTGTTTTTATCCTTTCAATGTTCTTTGACTGTACATTCTATTTTTGCTTTCCCCCAGACCCTTCACGTCCCAGTCACTTTCCTATTTTCACAGTACTGGTCTTATATAGTAAAGTCCATTTGTGACTGACTTAATTCACTGAGCATAACATCATCTACTCTCCCATTGTGTTGTATATTACAAATACTTTTGTTCTTAGGTGCTGCATAGTATTTGTGTAAATATACCAATTTCTCAATCCATTTGTTTGTTCAAAGCCATATTTGCTGTTTTCATTTTCTTATTATTGTAATTAATACTGTGATGAACATAGGTGTACTCTGTGCCTTGATACTGACCATTTTTAATCAATTATATAAACCACTTTGCGAGGAATGATAAATTTAAGAGGAATAGCATCACATTCATAATCAAAATTAACATTTTACGATTGATCATGATGTTCAATGCTGTAATAGAATACCATTCATACAATTAAAAGGAATTAAACAACTCTTAATCAAATGTGCTCATCAATCACTAAAGCCAAAGATAAAGAAACTGAGAATGTCTGCCAACTTTTGCAGTTTGAAATTGAGCAAATATGCCATCGATATTCAGTAAGAACTGGTGGCTGGAATGCAAAAGCTGAAAATAAAGAAAAGGTCTGGTAGTATAGCCAACAGCTGTAAGGCTGGAGATAGAATGACAAGATTTTGTACAACTATTTACTTATGCAAAATTCTTTTTCAAAACACACACACAGTAACTGTATACCTGACGGACCTCACAAGAATCAGATTGCCTACATTTATGGTAAGAGATGGTGAAGCAGCTTAGTATCAGCAGTCAAAACAAGCGGCTGAGTATGCACAACCATTTATTCATGTGCATTTACAAATTAAACCGAATAAAGTTAAAACAAGTTAAATGAAAGTCAAAATAGGACCCTGGGCATATCCCATTTGAATTTTACTGTCTGCCCTGACTCTCCAGTTCCCACAGCTTTGGGAGACAATTAGAAGCCTGTTGTCTAACCTGCTGATTCTAGTTTATCAGCCCCTGCAACCACTGGAGTCTGAGGGGGAGATGCTGAGAAGCGTAGAAAGTTGATGTTAGAGATGATGCAGTGAAGTTTTCAAAGTCAGACATTGAGCCATTGTAAACTTATGCATCAGAGGGTCAGCTTTGTGCTGATCTTTCTAAAAGATGCTATTTGTGCAGGCAGATAGAAAAGTGGTAGACAAAAGCAAGGGAGAGATTCTTAAGCTGAAGTAAAGACATGTGGTCTGATGCAGTGATAAATTTTGCATTTCCAGAGAACTGAAAATTAGTATTTACGGATAGGAACACTCATATCATCAAGTTGTGAAAACAAGTTCCCTACCTAGTATCTCCTAAGAAGCTGTAACATTGAAGTGATCAGCAAAAGCTGGGCACTCAGGTTCAGTGCCCAATGTGAAAAAAGCGCAAGGAGCAGAGGGAAGCTTGGGCATCACTTACTGCAGTTTATATAACATAGACTGTGAAGAATAGATGAGCCACGTGGGAAGTTTCCCACAGTTTTTATAGTACTGAGAATGAAGGTGGCATTTTGCCACACATGTGCAGGAATCACTAACTTTATCACACACTGTGCACATATGTAGTTATATTTAGCATTTCACAGTAGTTTAGCCTAAACCCCCCTGGTCGGTATATACAATCTATCATGGTACCCAAATCTGCCTGTCAAGTATATACAACACATTACAGTACCTCAGAAGCCCTGGTAACACAGCAAATTGTCAACTGTTCCGCATACCTTCTTTGAGGAAGGTATACCTTCCCCCAAGCCCCCCGATTTTTCTGGCTCCTTTGTGGGGCAGTCCAACATAAAAACACTGGAGATTCTCTCCTTCATTGGAAGACACAGAGGGCAATGAGAGACAATTTTTATTCTTGATAGCAAAGGGGCTGCTTCCTTGCATGACTTCTTTAAGAAATTCCTGTTCAAGAAAATCTGTACTTCTAAGGTAAAAATAAGTTTGTTCGTGAGAAAAAAAATCTATTGAGAATCTTGACTCTATTATAAAAAAATCTATTGCCATCCTGAAGCACTGCTTATGTGACTCAACACTCTTCACTAAAAATTACGCATTCAATTATACTAGCACCCAAATTCATTGCCATCTGGTCTATTTCAACTTGTTCAACAGGTTGGAAGGATCTTTATGGAACCAGATGGTCACACACACCCCACCCCCCGCAGAGCAGCTACCCTGCACCTAACCACCATATCACCGGGATGTTATGTTCACATGGAATCAGAAAATATTCTGTGCTTCAAAAACCCATCCATCTTAACTCAAGTGTTCTGGGGTTCCTATTATTCTGAGCATTAGCTACAGTTTGTTATGATCCACATAGTCAAATGCCTTTGCATAGTCAATGAAATGGACATTCTTCTGGTAATCTTTGTTTTCTAAGATCCTTCCAACATTAACTACAATATCTAGTACCATGACTTCTAAATCTAGTTTGCACATTAGGTAGTTCTATGTAGAGGTGCTGTTCCAGTCGTTTCGGGATAATTTTCAGCAGTATCTTGCTTGCATGTTATATTAATGATACTGTTTGATTATTTCCACAGATAATTTGTCAGATCGCTTTTTTCTGGAATGGGAATAAATACGGATCTTTTCCAGTCAGTTGGCCAGGTAGTTGTCCTCTCAAATTCTTGGCACAGGCTGGTGAGTGTGTCCAGGGCAGCATGTTTGTTTTGGGGTTAGTAATTATTTTCTTCTTAATAAAGAATATAAGACAGATTTTATTATAAAGATTAAAAATAATTTTCACAAGACTTATTTTTCTACACTTATACTGTGAGTCAATAAATTAGTCAATTATGAGTAATTCTGTTGGAATGGAGTAATGCTCTGAAAAGAAACTTACATGGCAAGAGGTTATTATTCAAGATCATGTTTAAAAACAGAAAACACAGAAAATGGACCTAGAACAGTTCTTAAATTAACTTCTTATTTTATTCATTTTCAGTATTCTTACATTATTAACAAAACTCATTTAGACACAGAAGTTCAACATCGTACTTAAAAGTAGTACAGACTAAGAACAGAACACAAAAACACTATATGACAGGCCATAAATATTGTTGATGTTTAGGGAGAGAATTCTATTAACAAAAAGAATAAAAATACTTCAGACTTTCTGCGATCATAACTGAAGAGCTCTTCAAGGATTACATTCAGGCAAGATACAACATACTCTGATTTAAGCAATACAAACGTAAAGTTTCGGGAATGAAATAGATTTTCCAATCACTGCAGAATCTGTTCTTCCCGTTTAACTAAACAAGTTTAAATTTTTTTCACAGAAAAAAGTATGTCAAACAAACATTAAATCCAAATGAACATGGTTCAAAGGCTTACTTACTTACCTTAGTTCAAAGGTTGTTAATTAAGGCAGGCAAAGTACAGATACTGTACATTAAACACATTAAAAACACATATGTGTTACTTAATGTCCACATAAGTTCTATGAAACAGGATGTGACTTGAAAGCTGTGTGAACACTATATAGATTTCTCTGTATGGGTTTAATACATACATATACACATTTACTTACACACACACACACCCCTCAAAGTAGCCCCCACCCAACCTTCTCTGGCTATCAATGCCCAAAGACTCAAGGTTTGCAGACTTGGAGCTGGCTGCCTCTGGGCATGGAGGTCTCCCTGAGCAGCCCCAGGGCCTGCTCTCAGTCAGAAGTCTGTAGAGACAGAGCGCAAGTGGTGAGGCCCAGTATCTTTTGTCCCAGCAGGCACCAAACTACAGGGCACCAGGGCAGAACACTGCAAGCTTAATATGGGACCACTTCTCAGCACCCTCCCAAGCCAACCATTCTTCTCTGCCCCACTGATGAGTAGCTGGACAGATGCTTCCTAGCAGATATTAAGTGGTGCATACCTGTACATTATTATGTATCATATTACTTTTTACAGGCAAGGGGGCTTTCTAAGCTGCTCCTTTCTGAAACGCATAACAATTAAATGTACAAAGAACCATCTGCTGGTCCGACGTAGCCAACTCCAATTAGCAAGACATCTATTAGCGTCCATATTCCCAGGCCACCAAAGCTGAAGAGCTTGCCGAGGCCCTCCCGCCACTGGCCGAGGTAGAAACGGTCAGCTCCAAACCCACCGAGGGTGATGCTACAACAGAAAACAAAGACTGGAATCCAAAAGTCTTTCCTCAAACAAACATCAGCCAAGATGTATTTTAATAACTGTACTAAATATATCTGAAAAGGTCTCAAAATTCTGTCAACTTTAATTATAGCATAAATGATTATTTCACAATTTTACACTATCAAATACTCTTGGGTAAAATTTTTTAAAAGTCAAAGGTAAATGTGCTTTTTATCTGTTGTTGTGTACCATCGAGTTAGAACTGATCCATAATTGACCATGCAGCAAGTTTTCAGAGGCAGTAAATCGCAGAAGAGCTGAATCCCCAGCTTTCTTCCACAGAGCAACTGGTGAATTCAAATCACATTCAGCACAATTCCTTACCACTAAACCAAAAGTGCTCCCCACTGAACGCCATATTTTTTATTTAAAAGAAAAATAATTTTTACTGCTTTTCAATCTTGAAGCCAGGAGCTTCAAGAAAGAACAGTGAAGAAGGAATCAGGAATTGGAATCATGAGACATCCATTTGATCAAGATGGAGTTCTCTAACTTTCTCATTCACCTATAAAAATTTAGTGTGTGAAATAATGACTTAAAACTGACAACATCGGCCTAGTGGCAAGGAACTGCAACTACAATCCCAGAGGCGCACGGTTCGAACCCACCAGATGCTCTGCCGGGGAAGGAGAGACAATCTCCTCCTGTACCAGTCAGATCTGATTTGACGGTACACACACACACACACACACACACACACAAAATAATAAAAAAACAACAACAACAACAAAAAAAAAAACCCAAACAAAAAAACTGACAACATTAGGACTGTGATTTCTATTAACCAAGGTAAAAAGGGAAAGAGAATCATACCTACTATGGCTATGACAAAGCTCCAGTAATTATCAATACAGAGCCAATATTGGTCCATCTATGCCTGTATCCCACACCCCAAATTACTTTGAAGCCAGCCTAAGAACACTGAGAAGACTAGTCGTAAGTTTTAAAAATTGTCAAATGTACCACCACAATATAAGATGTAGAGAAAAATGGATGAAGAGTTATACAGGAACTCTATTTCTTTTGTAAGTTTTCTATAGATAAAATAGTTCCATAATTTAAAGAGGCAGATGTTAAATTTTCAGTTGACCCACTTCTGACAATGATGACAACCTTAGTGAATTTCTATCTCGAACTCCTCTCACAAATTCTTATCAGCCCAAAATTTACTGCAATGGTTCCAATTAAGAAGAATTTTGCCCTGAGGGTATTTGGCACTGTTTGGAGATAGCTATGATTGTCAGGACTGTGAGGGCTACTGGCACCCAATGAAGAGATGCTGGTAAACATCCCACAGTTGACAATACAGTACAGCTCACAATGTCAATGTTGCTAAAGTGAGACATACTGCTGCACACAGGCTGCAGGCCTCAGGCTTCAAGTCTATGCTTTCAACTACAGATGACACAACTTTTATATGTAGGTGACTTGTTCATGTTTTCTATGTAATTTTCATTTTTCTTCCCAGATTTTTAGTATTAAGTATGCATTTCTTATAAAGTTAAGAAGGTACCAAAAATTATTGTCATTACAAATCCAGCTATTTTCTAGGGAGTTCTGGTGGCTTTGATGTGATGCCAACTCAAAGGCAAGCAGTTCAAATCCAGCAGCTATTCTGATGGAGAAAGATGGGTTACCTCCCATGTGAATTACAGACTCTGAAAACTCAGCTGTGAGGTAGCGCTATAGTACAACAAACACCATGGTGGAGAAATTCGGTATTTATCAATTCACACAACATTTAGGATAAGAAACTCTGACGGCTTCTAACAGTCAATGACAGTGCTTAGTCACATCATAGCACATGCAGATGCCCAGGAAAGCAAGTTAATGCTCCTGTCTTCAGATTCCAATAGGCACTGGAGCAGCCATCTCTACATCTCCCTGCAGTCATGTTTGTTAAAGACCATTTAACACACATCGCATCTACCAAGTTAAGGAGCAGCTTCCTTATTTTGGAAGATTTTACTGGTGCCATAGAACCCAAATAGCAACACTGTTATAACTTAGTAGTCAAGCTTACCTTAGAGCCAAAGCAGTGGACCATTTATAACCTCCAGTCCAATTGCAATACAGCATTTTTTTAAAAGTACGGTTACCTTAAAAAGAAGAAAAGATATCCATAGAAATATGAGTGAAAACAAACTCTGATGCAGAGACTTTATTGAAACTAATGGGCCCATAATTTATAATAATCACTGTAAATACTGTTGAAAGTAAATAGTAAAAAGAAAGGCTTTGCAATCAATATGCGTAATATTTAAACCAACCAGTTAAGTAAGGGTTATGTTGCTGGTTTTGTGTGCCATGGAGGCAGAACTGGCTCATAGCTGACTCTCCAGCAGGTTTTTAGAGGCAGTAAATTGCACAGGAGGAGACTGCCCTTCTGTTCATGGAGCAGCTGGTAGATTAGAACTGCATACTTTTGGGACTGAAGCATAGTTTCTTAGAACTAGGCCAGCAGAGCTCCCTACAAGGGTTTAATATGACTATAAAATAGCCTATCAGACACCAAACTTTATGATAATATTAGAATAATTAAGCTAGTAGGGCAGTGACATACTTTCAGTTCATTAAATTTAAAAGTTTTGCTTATCAAAAGATTTCATAAAGACAGACACACAGGCCAATGCAGACATGGATCAATGGAGACAATACAGACACGCAGACAGACATGTAGATTAATGTAGACATGCAGACCAACACAGACATGTGGATTAATGTATGTAGATGTGAAGACCAATGCAGACACATAGACCTGTGCAGTTACGTAGACCAAAAGAGACACGTAGGTCAAGATATCTGACAAGAAACCGAAATCCATTAAGTAGGGAGGGAAAAGATAGTCTCTTACAAATGGTGCTGAAAAAACTGGATATCCATTAGCAGGAAAATAGATATCCATCAACAGAAAAATGAAACAATAATGTTTCTCAAACTATAGACAAAAACTAAATAAAAATTGATCAGAGACCTAATGTTAAAGCCTACAACTATAAAGATCAAAGGAAAAACAGGAGCATTTGTAAAAGCCTAATCAAACTTAACAAAAATATACAAGCAAAAAAGACAAACACCACAAAAACAGGAGCTAGGACTTTCTAAAACTGCAATCATTATGTACATCAAAACTCTTCTTAAAAAGAATAAAGCACAGATTGGGAAAAATATTTGGCAACAACATACCCAACAAGAGATTTACTTCCAAAATTTATAGAAAACTTCAACAGCAAAAAGGCAAACTCAATTTAAAAATGGGCAGAAGATATGAAAAGTCACTTCACCGAAGAAGTCAACCAGAAAACACATAGAAAAATGTTCATGATCATTAGTTTTTAAAAAGATATAAATCAAAATGCTATCTCAAAAGAATAATTTCACCCCAGAACAAAGCAAAGCTCATTAAAATGGGAAACAAGGTAACAAGGTGAGAGTATGGAGATACTGGAGCTCTCATACACTACTGGAGGGGCTGTCAAAGGAGGCAACCACTGTGCAAACTGGTGGCACATATGGGAAAATCTACAAACCAAAATACCATTTGATCCAGTTAACTTACTAACTGGTATGCATCTTAAAGTAATAAGAGCTAAGAAACAAATACATGTTTATACACACAAAACACCCAAATACACTATGGAACACTAAAGAGTTACCAAGAATTCAAAAAACATAGGTTAACACATTAATTTAGAAGACATTATGCTGAATGAAGTTAAGTCAGTTAAAAAAAGATAACTATAACCCATTGTTACAAAAAGCTAAGGCAAGTTTTACACACAAAAAGATATACTCTTTGATGGTAATCAGTGGAGAGAAGGAAGAAAAAAAATTAGTATATAGATGCCATCAAATAAGAACTGACCCAAAGCTGACCCTCCAGGAGATTTTCAGGGGTAAATCATATGGGAGGAGACTGCCTACCTTTCTCCTGCAGGGCAATTGGTGGATTTGAACCGCATACCTTTGTGTTGGCAATGTAATTCCTTACCATTAGGTCACCAGGAACTCCCTAATATATTAAGATAGGTAAAGGGAAAGGCGATATATTGTAAGGCCATATATAATACACCCGCATAAAACGACAAAACTAAGGGTAGGTACAAGAGGTGCACAACAAGTACAGTTAACAGTAAACAATACTACATACACAACTCTGCATGATCAGCCATAATAAATATTAATTTACAAATGTAGGCTGACACACAAGAAAAACAGACATAGCAATGAAAATTACATTTATAACTATTACACAGGTTTGACAGAGGATAGTTCTTTATGTTAGCATAATCTGTAAATATATCTATGTATAGAAAAGCCAACAGGAACTTCTTAATCATCACCAAACAGCCTGAGGAACTAGTTTCTAAGGACATCAAGTTTAACTGGCCTAACATCTAACTTTAGTGAACAGCTGACTAGGTTGAATTAGCTATCTAGGATGCAGTGCTAGCAGTCTCTTCCTGTCCAGAACAAAGAAGAAAGAAAAACAAAAACACAGAGAAAGAATCAGTCCAAAGGAGCAAGGGAATCCAGCCTCTACAGTCCTGTGGCCAGAACCAGATGGTGTCTGCTGCCAGTGCTGACTGCTCTAAATAGTAGCAATTTCCTGGAGAGTGTGGGCAAAGGACAGAGTGAAACTCAAAAACATCTAAACGACCAGTCTTGCTGGCAGACCGGTGGAGCACCAAGAATATGGTCTTTGTCATCTTTCAAACCTGAAAGAAAACTCGTCCTTGTGGCTCAATTTCCAGCCAAACAATATAAAGACCCATAACGCGAACTGAGAACTCTGGGGACTTAATGGGTAAGTACTAACAATGTCAATCTAAAGGCAGGCAGTTCAAATCCAACAGCTGCTTCAAGAGAGAAACACCCACTGGAAAGTCAACTCTGAGTGAGCTCCAACTTGACAGCATGAGTTTGTTATGTGAACAGTAACACCAGGTAGATACTCATTTCTTGGAACTATCTATCTTAGAAGATCAAAAGGGCAGCATTTATCAAAAGATAAAGCTCAGAAGGCAGGAAGGACTAAGACAGAAAGATTAGCAGAAATGAGAATCAGAGAAAGTGGAAAGAATACAGTAACGCTGTGAGGACTGCAGATGTGGAGGAACAGCAAAATGGAAAACCTATTCACTTTGTAAACTTTCACTCAAATCATACACATGCAAAAAGACATAAAGTGAAGAAAAAGTCACAAACTGAGAGGCGGCTTTACGGACATCAATAAATATGTCAAACACAAAAGAATTCCTAGAACTCTGTAAGAAAAAGACAAAAATTTTATATTATTCAAAATGGGTGACCCTGGTGGACATTATGCTGAGTGAAATATCTGTCACAAAAGGCACAGAGCCACTGTTGTAGAATGGTACTGACATCAGGGTTGGGGTTAGAGAAAGACTGGATAAATCATGTATATTGCATTGAAACAGATATAGAACAGTTTAAAAGCGATACATGATCGGATATTATGGTTATGACAAGAGTACAGAATGAAGGTTGCATAGTGGAGTGTTCTCAGGGTGGAGGGGAAATTGTATACCAATGAAGGAATTTTACTTTTAAAAGAGAAGAGCGAAATTGGAGGGAAGGGGTGGGCAGGAAGAAAAATGCAACAATGAATGAAAGGAAATTCAAAATCTCAGTAAATGATCATGAAAATTAGTAAAATAAAATTAAAAAAAAGGCAAAAATTTCAAGGCAATATTAGAGAGGATATGGATTAAGAACTTTGTATCCTATTTGTTGAACATAAACTGGTAAAAGCATTTTGTAAAGCGGTAACATGTAGAAAAATATATACTAAATAAGCTCTCACAACTGTGAAGTTAACAAGAGATATGCAAGAGTTTTAATAGCAGTATGAGCTGCAAGAGTAAGAAATTATGTTTAATGCAAACAGAGAAAAGAATGGTTGAACTTTTACATGATTTTGGAACAGATTATTATAGTAGGTAGAGGAACTAGATGAAAGAAAAGTACCCAGGCAGTTACAATGGCATTAGTACTGTTTTAGTGGTTAATTTGGTTCAAATTAATGGATATGATAGCAATATGCTTTTTTGGTTTATTTTCTTCACCTCTCCCTATTCTTTGGCAAGAAGTTTTTAAAGGGCATGCTTTATATGTGATATATTATTTGTTTCATCAAATATTACATTAAAATGTAATAAAACAAAGATATGGTATTTAAGTCTTGTGACCAATAAAGATTTTTAAAAGATAAATTTTCTGGATGACAGCTTTTCTTTTCAGATTCGTTTGTAATAGTAAAATGCTGTGAATAAATTCTAATAAGATAATTCAATTCTCCAATGGGAACGTCAAGCTCCTTAAGTACCCCTAGAAGCAGTGCCAGACCCCCTCCCCCACTGCCCTGAGCCTGTCTGCTCCTCACCTAGACAGTGAACGTGGTCACGCACTGTACAGTTGGCAGGATAACGCTGCCGAGGACAGGACACCGTCATGCAGCTAGTGGAGTTGAAACACTCATAATCTATTTCTGGAAGCTGCCAGCAAAACCTGCAAGTCATGTTGATGACGAAGTTCTTTTGGGGTTTGGAGTCTTCATCCTATAACACCGAAGAACAGAGAGTTAGTAAAATTTATGCCCTGGTACTTAATGTCCTCCAAATAATTACCAAAACATGCATGAAAAACAATTACTATGGTTTAATATGGTATGATCTTAAAGTCATCAAAGCATATACCCAAATACTCATGTCTAAGGAAAAGAAACCTAGATAAATTAACAAGAAAATGTTAACAAGGATTATTCCTGATCACAGTGATTTTTGCTTAACTAAACTTCAGATAATGAGGATGTGTCCTTTTTTATTTAGAGGGGGGAAAAGCGATGAATTTAAAAACTCAAGATTTTTTAAGGTGTGCTTGATTCAGGCCATGGTCTTTTTAATCACTTGCTATGTATGTGAGAGATGGACAATCAATAAGGATGACCCAAGAAGAACTGATACCTCTGAGTTGTGGGGTTGAAGAAGAACACTGAGTATCTTATGGGCTGCAAAAAGGAATTAACAGGACCAGGGAGGGAGGTCTGTCTTTTTAGGGATGTAAATTTCTAACAAATCTATCATTACTATTTACCCTTAAAAAAACAAAAAAAACCCCAAAACAATGAAAATATATTTATAATTCCACAGGACCAGTGACAGTTTTAAGGGACATAAGTACACTAGTGTCCCACCATCTGATGGCATGGCACTGTCTCCTCTCACACAGCACCAACACAGGTGTGGGCTGCCCAAGGGTGAGTACTTCTGTGCCCAGAACCACTGACATGCCTACAGCCATCAGCCCAGAGAGTCACTTCCAACTAGGAAAATCCACAAGTCAGCCAGAGGCTCAGCAAATGCTCACCATTGGCCCTTCGGGTTTGAGACCAGAGATGTGACGTCTATCATTTCAATTTAAAAGTTTATTTTGCTTATAAAAGTAATATATGTTACTTCAATATTGTAGACTTGAAAAACATAGAAAGTAATCTGTAATCTCTTCAGATCATCACTTGTAATTTGACTACTTTTTTCCATGTCCATATTTATGTTTACATAAATGAAATTGTATTTATAGCATTTTATGCCCATTTTTAACCCCACTTCAGACTACACAGACATCCTGGTGGCACTGTTGTAGGTGTCACTGAGTCGACCACAACACATGATTCACAATGAACCTATGAAGAACAGATCAAAACCTTGCCCTCCACCTTTTCCAGCATGATGTGTTTTCGCAAGGACTGACTCCTTCTGACAGCATGCTCAAAGGATGTGAGACCAAGTTACACCTTCCTTTCTTCTAAGGAGCACCCTGGTTGTACTTCTTCCAAGACAGATTTATTTGTGTGTTTTTTTGGCACAGTATACTCAACATTCTAGTAGATAATACAAAGAGGCTGACAATCAAAAAGTAATCAAAATGTGAACCCACCAATTGCTCCAAGAGAGAAAGATGGGGTTCTACTCACAATGGAAGGTTTCCATGAATCACAATCAATTTGACAACATAAACCAAAACACTAAGCTTGTTGCCTTCAAACTGATTTCGACTCAGAGCAACTCAACAAAACCAATAAGAACTTTTCCCCAGGGTTTTTCAAGCTGCAATCTTTATAAAAGTAGACTGCTACATCTTTCTCCACAGAACTGATACCTTAGTTAGGAGCTGACCACTTACTTACACACTGTGTCACCAGGCATCTTAATCATATTAGACAACAGCACATATTTCTAAAAAATTATTTTTAAATGGTTATATTAATTTTTTAATCACTACTAAACTGGTTTTTTCCAAGAAAAGCGATCCAATAGAATGTAAAAATTATAATGAAAAGTATCATTAATATCACATGTAAGCAAAATATTGAAGATCAGTAAAAAAATGCCTGAACTATACCTTTACAGAGAATTGTCAAAAGCTAGTTAAGAAGAGGCCATGGCACTAGGCATTGTTGACATCAGATGGATCTTGGCTGAATGCAATGAATACCTAAAGAACATTTATTTATGTTTTATTGACTATGCAAAGGCATTTGACTGTGTGAATCATGACAAGTGTGGCTAATGTTGAAGAGAAAGGGAATTCCAAAACACTTAATTGTGCTTATACAAAATCTACTAGAGCAAAAAGCTGAACAGAACATGGTTCAAAACCAAGAAATGTGTGCATCAGGATTATATTCTTTCTCCATACATATTAAATCTGTATCCTGAACAAATCATTCAAGAAGCTGGATTTAATGAAAAAGAATGTGGTATCATGATCAGAGGAAGACTCATCAACAACCTTTATTACGCAAGTATTAATAATCTTGCTTGTTGAAGGTGAGGAGGACTTGAAACACTTGTTTCAGAAGATCAAAGACTAGTCTTCAATATGGATTATAACTCAACATCAAGAAAACAAAGATCCTCACCACTGGGCCAATAGGCAACAATACAACAAAAGAGAAAAGACTGAAGTTGTCCATGATTTCACCTTACTTAGAAGCACAATCAAAGCACTGGTACTAGCATGCAAGAAATCAAAAAATGTACTGCAATAGAAAAGTGTGCTTTTGGGGACCTCTTCAAAGTACTGAAGAACAATGATGTCAGCTTAAAGAGTAAGGTGCGCCTGAGTCAAGATGTGGTATTTTTAAAATCACTTGCTATGCATCAGATAAATACCTCTGAGTTGTGGTGCTGGAGAAAAGTATTGGGTATCCCACGGACTGCCAAGAGAATAAACAAACATGCTTTAGAGAAGGTGCAGCCATAGTGCTCCTTGAAGGCAAGAAAGCTGAAGCTTCATCTCACATTCTGGTGAGAGTATGCTGTTAGGAGAGGTTATTCCTTGGAAAAGGGCATCAAGATCGAAAATGTGTCGGGTCAGCAAAAGAGAGGAAGCCCTTCAATGAGATGGACTGACACAGTGGATACAGCAACAGGATCAAATCTATAGAGACAATGAGAATGGCAAAGGACAGGGTTCTGATCTGTTGTTTAGTTACTGTAAGTCATATTGACTCAAGAGCACTTAACAACAAACTCTTTTTATGCATTTAAAGTTGCATGTCCTAGCCAGTTTTTCTCTGGAATGTCATTTTTCTCAAAGACTTTTAGAAAATTATTTATTACAGACATTAGTATATTATTTGTCACTTGTATTAGAAAGACTTTTTCCTAGACCTTATAATTAAATCAAGTGCCTCCATTTGACTTAAACTCTAAGCACATAGATTTTCAGATGTATTTTAAAAAAAATTAAAACCATTAAAAAAAGTTTAAAAACACTTAAAAAAAAAAGTAAAACAAATTTTGACACAAGTGAAGAGTAAGGCCACGTCACCCAGCCTCCAGGGTCCCAGGAAACCTGCCTTCTAGTGCTGAGCACTGCTTACTAGAAGCCCTGTAACTTTCAAGACAGTTTACTCAATTCTAGACTCACAAAGCTCATAGTATATATATTTCCTTTTTAAAAATTTATCACTGACATTTAATCACTTAACTTTGAAGCTATCAATATTTACTCCTAGAAGTGACTGTTACGACAACAAGGTATTTATCATATATGCACGTATATGAATATTTAAAATGTCTGGTGGCTTCATGGATAAGGAGTTGTGCTACCAAAACAAAGGCACATGGTTCAAATTCACCAGTTGCTCCATAGAGAAAGATGGGCAATCTCCAGCAGTGCAATTTACAGCCACAAACAATCTGCTGGACGATCAATTCCATCCTGATAGAAATGAGTCTTAAGTCTCTGGGAACTGACTTACTGTTAAGACAGAAAGTACATGCCCCGTAAGGTAGTTTCTAATTTTTTGCTTTGATGAACAAGAGTACTAGAAAGATCCTTAAACATTCTTATTTACATCCATGTGTGAAAGGAATTTTTAAGATAGAGTCCTAAATATGGAATTGCTTAGTCAAAAACTATTATGAATATGCTTGCCAAATATGACAAAATGCCTCCAAAAGACTTGTCCATTTACTACTACAATAAAGAAGCTACTCCTTAACTTGGGTAATACCATGTGACTTAAGAGACAGTTCTTAAAGATGAACTTTAAGAAGTATAGCTGCATCTTACTGAGATGATTTGCCCTCTTGCTGGCTTTATACCTTTCTCAAGGAGCTCTCGTGGCTTAGTGGTAAGACACTGTGCTGCCAACCCAAAGGTATGTGGTTCTAATCTATTAACCACACCGCATGAGAAAGATAGGAAAAATCTCTTTCTGGGCAATTTACTGACTCTGAATATATATAATAGAGGGTCAGCAATGGGCTGGTTCTGACTCAGTTGTACACAATACAACAGCAATGTGCCTTCCCCAAAATGTTCTTTTTGAAGAACTAGCCACTCCTGACAGCACACTCAATGGATGTGAGAGAACATTTTACCATCCTTGACTCTAAAGGAGTACTGTGGCTGCACTTCTCCCAAGATAGGCTTGTTCTTTTTGGTTGTTCATGGAATATTCAGTATTCTTCTCCAATACTGCAATTCAAGGGCATCAATTCTTCTGTCATCCTTATTCACTAACTTTCAGATGCATGGAAAGTCATGATAAAGACCATGGCTTAAGCCAAGAGTCACTAATAATTCAAGGGCAGTTATGAGGCCTGTCATGCAATCCAGTGTGCCTTTAAGGGTAATGCTGAATATATGAAAATGACAAATACTTAGGCTTAAAAAAACTAAAGCTGATGACCAAGACAACATTAACAAATGACCACCCTCTTTGGAGAGAAGTCACCCTAGCTTTCTGATAAAAACTTAGACTTAAAAGAAGAATTCTGGAAAGGGCCTGGAGGTGGAAAGAACATTTCAATCTAGTCCTCTGCAGATCAAGTTCCAAGGAATAGAGAGGAAGTGGGATTCAAATGAGTAAATAAAATGGCAGAATTGCTGTGTCAAAGGAAATGTGCAAAAAAGAAAATAGACTCCTTTTCCTGCTTGACTTTTACCCAGCACAAGGGTTCCATGTGAACACGTTAGGAAAAGTTGTATTAGACACATCCCTTTCTCTTACAAAAGATTTTAAACTCCCAGGCAAGGGAGGAGTGTGCAATAGCTACTTGATCTGCTTATTAAAAATGCAAACAGGTCTCCTCAAATTTAGCAAGAGTCTGCTTAAGTCTAAAGTAAAGTGTAAGAATTCTGCCTCTAAAAGTCTTGATTCTAACAGGATTTCAAGGAGCATTAAGGCAGGTGAAGAGTGTCAGTGCCTTTACAGGCTTCTTCCTGTCTTGTTGCACATATCAGAGAGCAGACGAAAGGGTGAGGACAGTTTGTGATGGATAAACAGCTGGTGTGCTTGGGTTTTTGTATTTCTAACCTTCTATAAGAGGTCCATTAACTGTCTCAGTTAATCCACATGTCAAAAAACTGTCATATAAACCTGGCTTTGAAATGGGAGTTTTAGTCTTTGGATAAAGTTTATTCTTAAAACAACTTTTAAAAAAGGAGCACAATGGAGACCTGAAAAGAGGAGGCAATAGTAAGCATAGATCAATGGTGACTGATTTTATAAAACACATTATGAGTGATCATTTCAAACATGTGAATATAGGAATGTGTGAAACACAATGTACATGAATGACATACAATGTATATGAACTTTATATGCAAGCCAATATAAGTTTTGTCTTTTTTTTAAAAAAATGGAGACACCTCCTCCTCCTCTCTAGACATTTTTCTCAACGGTCAAGTCTCTCTCTATATATATTTATCATTTTAACTTGATATTTAAAATGAACTTTTTGGAATAAAGTTGAGATACTTACAATACAGGTAACAGAAGGCTTGACAGTGCAGTCAAAGGTGACAGGCTTTCCATACACACAGGAGAAATTTGTCTTGCATTCTATACAGTCGGCTGGAAGTCGGCTACATAAGCCGTGGCTGGGACACTTCATCATGTAAGGTGGGATTTCAGTACTTTCTACGCAAGGGGAGAGAGCAGTTTAATCTATTACAATATTGGTCAGAATAGCACAAGAATACAGTCATTTTCTATGGTTAAGAAACATGATCATTAGCAGTAAGACAGTAGAAAGGAGCCTATTAATGCTGAAACTGCTTGGTAGGTGTCAGCTAAACAGCAAATAGAGTCCATCATCACTTCAAATGTACCCAGAGGTCTAACTGTAGAGAAGGCAGGATGGAGGAAACGATATACTCAAACCCTGAGAGCTTCATTTAATTACACATAAAATTACAAAATTCAAAAGAAAAAGTAGCTCTATTACTGAAACCTGAAAGGGGAATGCTATAGTTCAAAAGCTGTAATAAGGTGCCCAAGAACAACTGTCAGGAAAAGGACCCCTTGCTTCCATGCACAAGGGGCACAAAGAATGTGCCACTTTGCTGCCAGTGGGTGCTTATGGGCCCTCAGCCTGACCCCACCATGACATACAACTCTTTCACTGTTCCGCTCACACTACTGACACCTACTGTGTGTCACAGAAATTACTGTGGGGAAAAACGCATACAAGACTCTGCCTAAAAAGGTAAATAAGCAAACATATTATCTAAAGCAGTGGAAATGTTATAAAAGACACCAGTCTGAGTGATCCAAATGTTCTACAGATGAAAACTGACAAAATTTGCTGGTAAACTGGATTAGGAGCTGAGAGAAAGGATGAAATCAGAACTTCAATTCAAATAAAAGAAAGAAACAGCAATTTCTTTTTGATTGATTTAGAGAGTAGAGACCAAAAAATTGTATTTTAGTGTTTTTTTGAGATGCCTACTAAACAGCAAAATTGCAACGTCAAAAAGACATTTAGTGTTAGTAAAATATATACTATATAAATATGAAGCAATTTCATATGAGCTAATACTGTAGATAAGATAAAAAATGCAGTAACATGGACAAATCTCAAACGCATTATGCTAAGTAAAAAAGGAAAGAATACTAGAAAAAGTCCATTTGTGCTTTATTGACTATGCATAGACAGTAGACTGTGTAGATCATAACAAATTATAGCTAACCTTGAGAAGCATGGGGCTCTAGAACACTTAACTGTGTTATGAGAAATTTATACCTAGACCAAGAATCTGTTAACCAAATGGAGCAAGGGAACACTACATGGTTTAAAATCAGGAAAGAGCGAGCTCTGGTGACCTACTTTCAAGAAGCTGCGTTGCAATCTCGAAGGCAAGTGGTCCAAGGCCACCAGCTGCTCTGCAGGAGAAAGATGGGCAACCTCTCCTTTTCTGAAAACCTGCTGGAGGGTCAGCTATGGGTCGGTTCCCACTCATGGTACACAATGACCACAACATTTACTCTGGAATATACATCAAGTACTGACAGAATTTTGGGGAACTCTGGTGGCCTAGTGGTAAGAACCAAGAGCTGCAATCCTAAAATCAAGAACAGTGTGTGTCAGGGATGTATCCTTTCTCCATATCTAGCCATCATTTAAGAAGCTGGACTCTGAAAAGAAAGGCTGCACCATGATCAAAGACTCATCAACAATCTGTGTTATGCAGATGACAAAATCTTACTTACACCAAGTGAGGACTTAAAGGATAACATTTCAACATCAAGAAAACAAAGGTCTTCATTATGGGGAAAACAGTTAACATGCTAAATGGAGAAGGGCTGACTGTCAACGATTTACTTGGATCAACAATCAACACCCTTCCTTCCTTTAGTCAGGAATTAGACTTAATGCATTGAGCAAGTCCACTATCAGGGATCCCTGCAAATACTTAGGAGTAATGATGTCAGTTTGAAAACTAAGATGTGCCTGATTTAGTCCATGGTCTTCTAAATCACCTGCTATGTACCAGAGAGCTGAACAATAAATAAGGATGACAGAAGAATTATTGACGCCTTTAAGTTGTGATGCTAGAAAAGAGTACTGAATATTCCATAGGCTGCCAAAAGGACAGACAGCTATGTCTTGGAGCAAATGCAACCAGTGTTCCTTGGAGGCAAAGAAGACAAAGCTTTGTCTCTCATACTTTCGACATGCAGCTTGGTGAGAATATTCCTTGGAAGGGGACATCATGGTTGGAAAGATGGTCAGTGAGGGAGAGGAAGACCCCCAACAAGATGGACTGAAACTGACTGTGGCAATGGGTTCAAGTGTGTCAGAGATCACGAGGATGGCACAAGGTCACCAGATGGCAGAGGGTCTGTATGAGCAGTACTGATTCAACGGCATCTAACAAGAAGTGAAAAAAGCCAGACCCCAACGTGATATAATGTTTGATCCCACATATACAAATGTTCTGGAAAAGGAAAACTATAGGGGCAGAACAGGGAACTGTGATTGTCAGAGGCTGGGAATGGGGTCTGAAAGGGGTAGGAAGGGACTCTGTGTATGTGTATGCTGGGAGTGGGTGATGGAATTACTCTATTTTAATTATGGTGAGACTCCATTACTACAAATTATTTGTCAACTCACAGATTAAAAAGGGGGAATTTTATCACATGTAAAAAATACTTCAACAAACGTGATTTTAAAAAAGACTCAAAAAAGTGTACAAAGTATTTCAGAGTTAAATGAACTTACACAAATGTGTCTCAAGAGAGGAGTTTAGTAAGTATTAGCACCTGTTAACATAAGCAAATGCATAAAAAGACTCATTTACTTCAGATGAGTACCCACAGTGGATACGTATGTTGTTAGGTGCCATGGAATCAGGAACAACTGCTAATAACCTAAAGTACAACATAATGAAACCCTTCCCTGTCCCATATCATCTTTGCAATCATGAATGCACACAACACTGTCAACACTACTACTCTATGATGGAGTACCATCAACGAACAAGAGCCCAGGCCTCTGCATCTTGAACCACTAAAGCTTCCTAAGTAATCCAAACTATACACTTGTGCCATGCCAGATCCTGGGGCAATAGCTGTACCTCATTAAAGGGCTGCCACAATATGTAGCTCAAGGGCATATTACAGGTTGAGAGAGAATGAGCTGTTTCTAGTAACTGACACTACACAGCACTGCTTTTGGCTGAGGGCGATTTTAAAAGGGAAAGAGAAATACACCCTGTGTGAGGACTTAATTGGACCTCACTGTGCACACAATTCTGAGGGCCATGGTTAAATGATCAGTCTATGCATTATTTATTTTTAAAGTTATGAGGAATCCAATCCCAGAGGTACGCGGTTCAAATCCACCAGGTGCTCTGCTGGAGAAGGAGGGGGCAATCTCCTCCTGTACCAGTCAGATCTGATTTAACGGTACACGTAAAAATAATTAAAAAAAAATAAAAAATTTAAAGTTATGAGGAATCATAGTGATAAATCTCTAATGTGCTGTAATAGAAAAACAGCTGAAACAGTTCTGCCACTGGCCAGCTGTAGGACTGGGGGCAACAGTTCAAAAGCCATAGTCTCACTGGTAAAAGTATTTAACTGTCCCCAAAAAGCCATGAAAATTAAAGGCACCAGTGTCAGTGTATGGATATGGGGTCCTGGCAGCAAAGTGGATAAAGCAACAAATTACTAACAAAGAGGCTGCTGGTTCCAATTCACTAGTTACATCATAGGAGAAAGATGAGGCAGTCTGCTTTCCTAGCCTTGGAAATCTTATCACTTCTGGTGGCATAAGCCTCGCTGCGATGTGCTGCGAACAAAAAAGGCTGAGTGTCTCTGGCAGTTTGGATTGCCTCTCATTAAGATTTACAGCCTCAGAAACCCAATCGAAGGTTGGTATTAGTCAGAATCAATTCCATGGCAATACACGTAGTTTGAAGTAGCACAGTGGACTAAGCACTGAGTTGTGCTGAAATGGTTCAGGGTTTGAATGCACCAGCCACTTCAAAGGAGAAAGGAGGAGGCTGCTTCCATAAAGACTCACAACCATAGAAACTCTAAGGGGCAGCTCTCACCTCCTACAAGTAGGACTGAACAAGAAAGCAGTGGTTTTAATGTGCATATGCAGAGTACTTAAAAAAATATTGCTTCCATTTTATAAGATGAAAAAGTAAAACAAAGAGCTGTTATGATTTGTTCAATACCACAGAGGAAGTCAGTGGCTAAAATACAACCAGTACTAAAATCTCCTAATTTGCAACTATGTTCTTTTCACTTAATTCTCTAATTTGGAGATGAAACCAAAAGTCTTCAACAATGATTAAATCAGTAGAAACTTTTGTTATTAACCCAGACTAGTACTTTAATATCATTAACATACTATGAATGTTCAAAATAATTGTCTCTGCACTAATGAGTTCAGAAGGTCCAATTCCTACCTCCCAAGTAGCTCAGGTGTATAACATCTTTTCATCAGTTAAGAGAGGATTAAAATTCAAGACTCTTAAGATCTAAATGAAGCTTTCATACGATTAGAAGAGTCAAGAATTCTTGTTCTATGTTTTCCATAACATGATGTACATTTTGAATTCAAGTATGCTGCTTTGTCCTCATACTTTTCTAAATCCAAATGAAAATCAGAAAAATTCTGTTAGTTTCAGTTTATCGAAATAATAGATAACTAGAGAATGAAGTACTAAAGAGCAATGAGGTCAGTCTGCAGACTAAACTGTGTTTAATCCAGGCCATGGTCTTCGCAAATACATGCTATGAATCAGAAAGCTGGACAATGATTAGGGATGATAGGAGAATTGATGCCTTTGAGCTGTGGTGCTGAAGAAGAGTACTGAATACACTATGGACTACTACAAAAGCAAAAAGGTTCGCCCTGGAGAGGGTGAAACCAGGCTACGCCTTGGAGACAAGGATTCCGTCTGACATACTTTGGGTATGTTACAAGGAGGGACCAGTCCTTGGAGAGGGGTAGCATCCTTGGGAAAGTGGAGGGACAGTGCAGGAAAGGAAGACCCCTTGATGAGATGGACTGACTCAGTGACTGGAGTAATGGGGGTAGGTGTAACAGAGAAAGTGAGGTTGTTACAGGATAAAGCAGGGTTCAGAGCTATAGTAAGTTGTAAGAGCTGTAAGTTGCAGGCGACTGGACAGCACATAACAACAACAGAGAATGAAAACACACAAAGCTTGAAATTAGCAAAACAAACTGTTGTTAGGTCAATCGAGTCAAACACAATTCTCAGCAATCCTATGAACAAATCTAAACCCTGTGGTTATCTTTTACTATCAATTCATCTTACTGAGGGTCTTCCTCACTTTTGCCAACTCTCTACCTTTTCTATTTCTCTCCAAAGATTAGCTCCACCTAAAAAAATGTCCAAAGCCAAGTGAGACAAAGTTTTACCATCCTTTCCTCTAAGGAACATTCTGGCAGCATTTCCTTCAAGATAGATTTATGTGTTCTTTTGGTAGTCCTTAGTATAGTCAATACCAACATCACATTTCCAAGATACTGATTTTTCTTGTCTTCCTTATTCATTATCCAACTTTCAGAAGCATGAGAATTAAAAAAGAAGCAGCTGAACATACCAAGGCTTGGAAGAGGTGTACCCTAGTCTTTAAACTAACATTACTACTTTTTAGAACTTTGACGAGGTCCCTGACAGCAGATTTCCCCATCTTTGGGTTTCTTGACTACTAGGACCAAGGGTGTTGCATCGATCCAAGTAAAACAAAATCACCAATAATTTCAATATCTTCTCCATCTATCATGGTATTACCTACTGGTCCAGAGGTGAAGATTTTTTTTTTCTTACATGTTTAGATGTAATCCATAATCAAAGACTTTGGTTTTCTGTAGTAAGTGCTTCAAGATTTTTTTTCTCTTATGAGCAAATTTGTTTTAGGTGCATGTTGATGCTTTCCTGGTGTGTCTTCCTCCAATCTTGCTGTCACATTCTATCATATAGTCCAACTTCTCAAATGACTTGCTCAGCATACAAACTAGGAAAAGAGAAAGCATATAACCCTGACCCACACCTTTCCTGATTTTAAACCACGTAGCGTTCCCTTGTTCTGTTTGGTCAATAGCCTCCTAAGCTATGTAATGTTTTGTATGAGCACAATGAAGTATTGTGAGACTCCAATTCCTCTCAGTGTTAGCCATAATTTGTTGTGATCTACACAAATGCCTTTACATAATCAATAAAGTACAATTAAACATCCTCTGGTATTCTCTGCTTTCAGCCAGGATCTATCTGACATCAGAAATTATATTCCTGGTGCTATGGGCTGATTCTGAATCCAGCATGAATTTCTGGCAGTTCCCTGCTGATGCACTGTATTCATTAAAATAAATGCGTAATTCTACAAAAATTTTTCTTTTGCCTTATTACTTTTGTGTCTGGATCATTTCACTTAGAACAACAAAACCAACTTGCCTCTTTTAAGAGGGTCTGGCTAAACTCCTTAAAGATGAAAAAACAGAATCTCAAACTAGCACAAGCATATCAAGGCCATATCTCTATGCTCCTTCCATTTCACAGGGTCTTAGGAGAGAGCGTTTCGTATTCAATTTCCAACATGGTTCCAGCAGAAGCAAGCTTCTGAATGGAAAAAAAGCATTGGATGAGTTGTTTTAATGGATGAAGTGGATAAGATGTTAGTAACAGAGAAATGGAAATTAAAACAGAAATGAAAAAAGAAACAGGCTGAAATGTTAAAAAAAAAGTATTCAAGCAACTACATGGTTTACAGAAAAATGTGGACCTACCCTTGGTCATATAATCTAAAATATACAAATCTAATATATACAATCTAATCTCATATAATCGAAAAAAACAGTAAAAAGTAGGAATTCGTTTTCATACTGGTAAAAAAGTGTACTTTAAAAAGAGAGGGAAGTGGCTGCTGTGAACATGCACACTTACCACCTTCTGGCAGCTTGGCGCCTGCAGGCCCTGGGCCCGCGGTGAGGGCGCGCGTGGGGTGCGGGTCCAGCACCGGCTGCGCCAGCGGCTGCGAGTGCTCCACGTTCAGGGATCCTGCGGGCAGAGACACGGTTATCCTGGGCCAGGCCAATCACAGCTAAAAACCCACAGATAGGCGCCAGCAGGGTTCACGCCAACCTTAGGTGTCTGGCCAGCCAGGGAATGAAGGGTGCACCAGACCTCAGCTCTGGTCCTAGGGCTCGCCGGCGCCCGCAGGCCTCAGAAGGTGCCCAGGCGTCCCAAGAAAAGAGCGGCCTCACGCAAGCCATCGGGACGCACCGACCTCCACCCTAAACCTGCCGGCTGAGTCAGGACAGGTCCCGTGAGGGCCCTCCCACCACTCAGCCTGCACCCTGGGAATCCTGGCATTTGCACTCACCACCTCCCGACAAGATGTAGAGAAAGAGCAACACCCGGCAGAATCGAAAAACGAAAGGCATCACACCACCAACATCCGCCATCTTGCCAGGGCAGGAACACTTGCAGGTCCCAGACGCAGGCCGCGTCCGCGGGGCGGGGCCTCGCCGTCGGGGCGGTGCTCGTCGATAGGCGGGTCAGCGGGGACGGGGCTCGAATAGCGACGGGGTGGGGCTTCCCCGCGGGGCGGGGCTCGGGGGTTCGCGGCGGGACATTGCCTCTCAGAGGGTGAGAGCTTCATCTAGGGGTAGGGTGAGCCTTGCGCGTTGCGGCATCGGGGCTCGCGGCCGGACATGGTTTCTCGGGGCGGGTGGTGGGGCGGGTGGGGAAGGACCTCGTGGTGGGGCGGGGCTCGCGGCAGGATGGGGCGGGAGTTGTCGGAGAGGTGGGGCAGGGCTCGGCTATGAATAGGGCGGGGCTTGTCCGTGGGTGGGGCTCATGGAAGAGCCCGGGTCCTAAGAAGCCCAGGAACAGCCTTGTGGTTACTCTGGTGACCTGGTTTGCTGCTGTGGTTCTGTCAGGGAACTCTGAGTGTCCTCATTCGAAAAGATCCCTTACCCTCTTTGACAAGAGACCTCTGTCTCCACTGCTCTCTCTCTCTCCTTTCTGGGGAATGGCTTGTAGTTGACTCTCCAGTTTTCACCGATTGTGAATCAATCACACAAGAATACATAGCCCATCTTTGTTGGAGCAGCTTTATGGTTTTGAAATATCAGAAAGGTGCTGCCTTTGGGTTAAGGGCTCCCTACCCAGTAGCCACCACGGTTCCCTAGAAACCAGGAGTATGACCCTGGAAATTCATACCTGAAAGTACTGAAAGATAAGGTGGCAAATTTGGGAAATTGGCCAGCATTTTTGTCTAGCTCTCTAAAGTGAGGAAGACCCTCAATAGGATGAACTAACATAGTGACTGTAACAATGGGCTCAAGCATGTTGGAGAGGGTGAGGATGGCACAGTATAGGGCCAGGTTCAAATCTGTTGTTCACTGAGTCACTGCGATTTGTAGTTGAGCACTTATACAACATATATGACAGATAAAAACCTCCACCGCATGTGAAGTACAAGGAAATGTTTATGGCGTTATCATATGATGAAGAAACAGATTCAGAGAGGTGGGTAGTGAAGCAAAGACATTAAAGAAGCCCCCTTTGGCATGACAGGTGAGTTGTGAGGGATCTGCTGCCCAAGCCAAGGCACTGATCTTGGCAGCAAGCACCAGTTAGGCTCCAACACCAGCTAAACTTCCCACCTTATCTTTAACTTGCATCAGATGTGAATTTTGGCCTTGAGTAAACATTCCTGGTCTCTAGGAGTGGAAAGAGATGTCAAAGAAGGGAAGGGAGGCATTGGATAAATATTACTTCCCAAAAGTTCCCACAAGAAAGGGACAGGCTTTTAGACTAGCCAGTAAAATCTTAAGACTTTGAGAGCCTGGGACAAGAGCCAGAGGCTCTCCCTTAGGCCAGCCTTAGGCAGGAGGCTGTCCTCCAAGCTGGCCGGCTGGGCTCATATCTCCACCACACTCACTCTCTACTGTGCTGTTGACATGCTTCTCTCTTCCCACCTACTTGCCACAACAACAGTCCTTACACAAAATCATGCTTGCCACAAAAAATCCCCTCAAATATTTGCTTAAAATATTGTATTTTTCACTTTGTACCATATTGTGCTGTACAGCTCTGACAAATGACATTGCTTTGGTTATTTAGACTGTTTCACTGTCCACTTCCCTCAGGAACCTAACTAAACTATAAAGGTGCTTCAAGAAGAGAGCCTGTCATGAATTCCACATTACTTAAGTCAAATAAACAATAAGTACTTCTTGAATGGGAGCTACATTCTATGTTGATATGCAACTATTTGAATTCAGATATTCTTAGTTAAAAGTCTGAAATTTATTTGAGTCTACACAACCAAAGAATAGCATTCTATTTAATAGCATTAATTTATTCTATTTTTAAAAAGTAACTTAGTTATAGGGGTGTCACTGCAGCTACTGTTCAAAAGAGCTTTTCTAGGCTATGGTCACAGAGCTGGGCAGGAATATACAAATAGGGTGGGTTAGTCTATCCACTAGGAGGGTGGGCAATTAGGCCATTCCACCAGATTTAAATTAAGCAGGTTCAGTAGCAGCAATTGGCAATTTCACTACCAGCATGGAAGAAGCAGCAGAGAATGCAGTGCCAAGAGAGAACCAGAGACTGACATGATGTTGCTGACTCAGGATTGCTGCTCCAAGAAGACAGAGCCAAGGATATTTGCCCAAGTTTGCTGAAGGACTGAGAAGGAGATACCATAATTGGCAAGTCCAAAAGCTTTGTCACACTGCCCTAAAATGGGAAGGCTAAAAGGCCTTTGAGGATGCTTAAGAAGCTGTAAGCCCCAAAACCATGAGTATGATGCTGTGATATCTGTGTGGCTTTTGCAATGGATTTCAGACCCAGTGTACAGCAAGATTGGTGTTGGAATTAGTGGAAGTAGCTGGGGGAGTTAGATGGCAAGTCGGATCTTACAGGGATTGGTTTGTATTCGGAATGTTTTTCATGGGGATTATCCCCTTTTGTGGAGTTAGTGGAGGTCACACCAGGTGTTCCCACACTACTCACACTCTGTAAAACTGCTTAGGATGGTGAGAACCCTGAAGTGAGTCTCTAGAAACACTGTGTGATGCAGTATATTTAGGTATTTTCTTCTAAAGATGAATAAGGCTCAATTATGAATGAGAGGTATTAACATTGTAATATTTAACTTACATCACAAAGTAGATTCCACAACATCAAATTTCTATGATAGTCATAGTTTTTCCCCAGTAATCCTGTTGTTAATATTAGCTTCTTTTGTGATTGTTGGCTAATTAAAGCAAATTAAGTAATGATTCCAATTTTGAGGATAAAGTTTATAATATAAACTTTTTATAACAACTATTAAAATACCTGAGACATGATATTAGAAAATACGTTTTTCTTCCTCTATTAAAAATATCATTGTTTTTGTTGTTTTATGTGCCGTCAAGTTGCATGCAACTCATAGTGACACTATGCACGACAGCTCTGAATCCTGCTCTATTCTGAGCCAGTCTCACTGTCTCTGACACACCTACCCTCATTACCCCAGTAATGGTGTCAATCCATCTCATCCAGAGTCTTCTGCACCTGCTCTGTCTCTCAACCCTTCCAAGCATGATATCACTCTCCAAAGACTGGCTCCTCCTGGCTACTTGACTAAAGTATGTGAGACAGAGTCTCAAAATCCTTGCTTCCAAGGAGCAGCTTGATTTCACCCTCTCCAGGACAGACCTGTTAGTTCTGTTGGCAGTCCACAGTATGTTCAAAACTCTTCTCTAAGATCACAATTCAAAGGCATCGATTCTTCTTCTGTCATCCTTAGCCATTGTCCAGCTCTCTGATGCATAGCAAGTATTTGCAAAGGCATACCTTAGTCTCTAGATTGACATCTTTGCTTCTTAGTATTCTGGAGAGGTCTCTGACAGCAGAATTTTCTAATGTAATCCGTCTTTTTATTTCCTGACTGCTGGTGCCAAGAGAGTTAATGTGGAACTGAGCGAGCTGAAATTCTTAACCATATAAATCTCTTCTCCATCTATAATGATGCAGTCAATTGGCCCAGTGGTGAGAATCTTTGTTTTCTTGATGTTGCGCTTCAATCCATATTGCACACTATGGTCCTTGGCCTTTTACAGCAGATGCTTCAGTCCCTCCTCAGTTTCTGTAACTAAGGTTGTGTCATGTGCATAACGCAGGTTGTTGATGAGTCTTTCTCCAATCTTGATGCCACATTCTTCCTCATAAAGCCCAGCCTTTCAAATTATCTGTTTTGCACACAGACTGAAAAGTTATGGAGACAGAATGAATCCCGGACACACTCCTTTTCTGATTCTCAACCATACAGTGTTTCTTTGGTCTGTTCTGATGACTGCCTCCTGATCCAAGTATAGGTTTTGCCTAGGTACAGTCAAGTGTTCTGGTATTATTCTTCTCAAGGTTAGCCACAGTTTGTTGTGATCCACACAGTCTTTGCATGCGCAATGAAACACAGACAGACATTCTTCTTGTACTCTCTGCTTTTGGCCAAGATCCTTCTGACATTGGCAATAATATTCCTACTGCCATGGCCTCTTCTAAACCCAGCTTGTATTTCTGGTAGTTCTCTGTTGGTACTATGCTAGTCACTTTTGGATAATCATCAGCAGGATTTTGCTTGCATATAATATTAGTGCCATCATTTGATAATTTCCACACTCTGTTGGATCAGCTTTTTGGGGGGATAGGAATAAATATGGATCTTTTCCAGTCAGTTGGTCAGGAAGTTGTCCCCCAGAGCACTTCTAGGGCTGCATGTGTTTGTTGAAATATGTCAATTGGTATACCATCAATTCCTGGGGCCTTGAGAGTTTTATTTATACATTATCTTCAAAATCATAAATATTAGCAATAACATCTCATAATCCTCATTTCCTAGTATTTCCCCCTTTCAATGATAGCATTTTCTTATTTTAATCTTGAAAGGTATTGATTTCTTGAAAATATTTCAAGCTAGTCCTCAGATTGTCCTCTGAGTGCATCAGTTTATTCAACAATTGATTTGTATCAGCTCCCCATTCACTGTCTCCTTTCTCACTTGTGCACACCGGTGAGTCTAAAGTTGTTAGGAAAAGTACTAACAGGCTAAATGGTTAAGATAAATGCATTTTCAAGGGTGAAAAAAAAAGGTTGTACAGAAGCAAATACAAGGAAAAAAACTTCAAAAGTCTTCCTCAGCATTCAATGTACGTGAATTCTTGAGATTCTTTAATTTATTCATGGCAGATGTCACTGAAATCTCACCATGAATTTTGTTGTTTCTCGTCCGAACATTTACAGCATTATTTGTCTTTTCCTTTTCTCCAACCACTGTAGAAAAAAGAAGGGAAATACCCATTTTAAAGCAGTTATTTAGCAGTAAAACCAGTAGTCATATGACACGTGCATTTTATTAGTTGACTTTTCTTCAGAATTAATCACTAAATACACGTAAATAGACCATCTAATCCTCTGATAGTCATTTATTGAAGAAAGAATGATTTCTAAATGCATCTCTTTATTGTCTACTTGAAAGAACAGTTATTGTGGTTTTGGGATATAAATAGGAGCTATTATTTCCATGAGAGAAAGATGTGTATTTTATTCAATAATGACGGCAAACTTGGACCCTCATAGGGTCACCATGATTTAGTTGGATCAACTTGATGGCAAAGAATTTTCTGGGATTTTTTTACAGATTCCCTGGGTTGTGCAGATGGTTAATGAACCTGACTGCTAACCATATGGTTGGAGATTTGAATTCACCTCATAAAATAAAAAGGCCTAGAGATCCACTTACAAAAGAATTAGTCACAGGAAATTCAGACAGCATGGCAAAGTGGGGTCAATATGAGTTAGAACTGACTCAATACATATATTATTTACTTTCAGACCCTTCTGACACCATCTGGCATCCTTAATGAGTCAAAGGGTGAACACCAGGCCTAAACCAAGCCAACCAAAATGTCTTAAAATGTAGGCACAAGATTTATTATTTCTAGTAACCCATAGAGACATTTGGGAAGCACAGTGGTTAAGTGTTAGGCTGTAATGGAAACATCAAGGGTTGAAACCCAATAGCTGCTCTATAGAAAAAAGATCTGTAAAGATGAAAGCCTAGAAGACCACAAGGACACAGTTCTACTCTGTCATATATTTACACTCTGAGTCATAACTGATGTAAGATGAGGCAGGACTCTACAGTCATGTTTCTTGCCATGTAGAAGAGAATAACTGGCCAATGGAGAAAGGGATGAAGTCTCTATTTAAGAGAATCATAAAGAACCAGGGAGCAATGGACCAGAAACAGCAGATACGGTTCTCTTAAGGGTTGAGTTCCAGGTTTCTGCTGCTCTTTTAATAACTTTTTTTTTAAATTCTACCATTTCATGAAATACTTCAATGCCTCTCTAAATAAGCTCATCTCTGTGTAAGTTAATTTACTGCAAGAAGCCTGATTAGAACATCACAACATTCACTAAAGGGCCAAACAGCAATGAGAAATTATTCCTGAGGACAATTCTATGCTTATTTACTTTTAATTACTTCATTAGTATCTTTACATTACAGTGAAAAATTAAACAGACATTTGGGAAAATAAGTTAAGACATTACCCAAAATAAAATTATATTGTGCCAACTGTGTGTTTCGTATTTTCTTATTTAATGTACAACTATGATCTAAATCAACGTCAGCCATAAATCCTTCTTCAAAAAAATTACGGGATACCTAGAAGAAAAGGAAACACTCATCATCATATTATTTGGGGTAGCCAGCCTCCCAGGTGACCCCAAAGTCTTTGCCTCCTGGAATTCACCTCTTTTGTGGTCCTCACTTCCCTCTGCATTGGATTTAGGATCACTTTCTCTTAAGGAAACCAACTGCCAAGTTAAGACACTGACCAAACCATGGAGATACTGTGTGCTGAGGAGCGGAGGGATCTGGGATATCCCAGAGCTCCCTTAGGCAAGAACTCAGACCTGACAAGAACTAGAGTGAGCCCATGCCTGCAGCCCTGGCTGAGGCTGTTCTGAACTTTCTCCTTGAGCCCCTGTGCTAATCAAGCGCTAGTGCCTCCCAGTCTTCTGACTCTCAGAGCCTGTGAGACAGCAGTAAATGCTTCTAGTTTCAAGTCATGGATAAGCTTCGTGATTACGGATTGTGCAGTGAGAACTAATAAAGCATCCTTAGATAACAGAACCATATAGAAAAGAGTAAGTATGAAATGTTCTAAAAATCACTTCTAAAGTATTAAGAAACAATATAGTTGTGATACAGCTACATATTCAAATCAGATTTAACAGTGCTACTGCCAGTTATTCAACACATAGATTATTAATGTGCTAGTTATGTAATACTTTAAAGCATAATGTTCTTTGCAAGCCAATATATAGACATATATTAAATATAAACCAAGATAATTAAATGTCTGTGTTTTTACCTGAGTGGCATATTTTTCACAAGTTGGTCCTACGGGGATGGCCATTACTTGACGAGGGGACAGCCAGAAAGGCCTGAAAAATATACAAAATAAGTTGTTTTTCATTCTAATGATGTCTACTTATTATATGAATAAACATGTAAAAGGTGTTTTTAAAAAAACCAACTCCACAAGAGAGAAATTTCAGTTGAGTGATGAGGAAGAAAACCATACTATATGGAAAGAAAATAGAGTAGGTAAAAAAGAAAATGTCAAATTTTGATTGGAAATGGTAGAGGGAAGAATGATTTGGCAAAGAGATGGAAGAGCACCTCAAGGACAAACCAGCAACTGCATTCTTCAACATTCATGTCAGAGAAATGAAGACTTCATACAAAAACTTGTCTACAAAGTTCCTGGCAGTTTTATTTCTAATAGCCAAAAAATTATAAACACCTCAAATATCCATCAAAAGGTAGATGTTTTACCAAACTGTGGTAGTTTTAAGAATAT